ACATATAGGTACTTAAATGATGGATGTTTATATAATAATAAATACGACGTAATTTAAATTATTATATAATATGAAAGCCAACACTTTTATGAAGTATACATACGATAACACATCGGCAATCACGGTAAAAAAAAAATGTTACCTATTAAATATTGTTAAAATGAATTATCGATTTGAGCACTTAAAAACCATCGATATCAATAACGTATACATATATTATAATCACTCTGCAGCGGCATATAATATTATTATTATAATGTAAACAAATCCATTAACGATATATAGTATAACATAGTAGTTCTTCGAAAAAATAACAAATCGAATTCGTGCGTTTTATCTGCGAATTATAATATTAAACTGTGTGTGCACACATCTGTGCGTGATTACTGATGAAAGGTTTTTACTATTATGCGTGGACGTGGTTGAAGTTAATACAATAATATGTGTCTATAAAATGTATATTGACATATTGTATATAGGTAATAACTAATAAGTTGTATGAGATTCAAATCGAACACTAGCAATAAACGTCTAAACATCACGTTGGATAGAGGTACAACTGAGATAGGAAAATCTGCAATGACGCCAATATTAGAAAATAACAATAATTAATTAAGTATATAACATGGATACACCTTAACTACATTCTGCGTTCACGTTACTTTTTATCAAAAACTAACATTATTATATTAAAAATGATGAACAAACATTACTCCAAATAAAAAAACAATCACCATATTCATGTCAAATTACAGTTTTAAATAAATGTAAATTAATTCTTAATGTTTTTGTCATGCAACGTAATAATAATATTAATTTTAGCATATTATAAACATAATAATATACAATTTCGTGAAATTTTTTGGGAAGAACCTATGTATTGTTATAATATTATAATGTCTATTTATCACGGATGATGTTTTTTTTTACATTATAACTATTATATATGTAAATGAAAAAAATAGACTCGTGTAAGGTATAAGTATTCATTAATATTATATTATTTATCATACCTACTATAGTTATAAAGACGACGATAAGGACAAATATGTTTTTATTTTTGGAGAATATATACAATATGATTAATAATTATATTATTATTATATAATTTTTGATAGGTATTTTTTATTCATAATTTGTTATTAATAATACCATAATGTAATTTACATGGATTAATGTCTACCATTAAAAACAAGGCCAATGGTGAACATGCCCTCCCCCCACACAAAATCAACCACTGGAGTCGACAGTAATAGCGTATACTGTTAACCATTATTACGGTAATAAAATGTTTAATTCTTTACAGTTTAGGAAATGTTTTGTGATGGTTTTAAATGTAATTATTAATCATAACTCATAAGTTATGTGAAAAAGAACATAATATTTCATCATGCGAATGTATTTTTTATTTTCATCAATTCAACAACCGTAAATTATACTCGTTTTTTATTTCAATAATTATTATTTTAATACTAATATGCAAGTATGGTAATCAACCAAGGACGGACTCTTTTTAAAGGCGGCTTTCGAATGTGTTTGCATCTTGTGTTCAGATGTATCTCGCGGTTTATTTTTCAGGTATTGGTCGTTGCATATAGTTTATTTTAGCCGGCCTGACCACACCTGCGGTGTATTTTCATAATAAATTGAAATGTATAATACATATAGCAGAAAGCGTAAAAGTATATTTAATTGAAAAACGTGATTAGAAAATGAATTACGTGTGCACGTAATACGCGTACATGGTTTTTGGTATATTATATTATTACTTAAGGTTGTCATCTCTACAGTGTACATAAACCAAAACTCAAGCTGATACTGTTTATTAGTGTCGCATGTTTGATTATCGTCACTATATTATTATATTATATTATACAGGTATACAGCTTTTCATAACGCGAGTCTATACATTGATGTCTAACGCGTTCATATCATAGAAATTGTTGCAAAATGGTTTTATATCCATAAAGCTCGTCCTGTAATAGGTGTGTGAAAAAAAGCATGCCAATACGATAAACAAAAGAGAATTTCAAATGTATAGAAGGAAATACGGTTGCGTATATGGTTCTATAATAGTATATAATAGGTACTATAGCTGCAGCGAGACAAAATTCTTCAGGTCATTATTTTGGACACAAAAATACAGTTTTAGACAGGTGATTTTTTCATTAATATTATTTGCCAACTAATGAGCATATTAAGACTGGTTTTTCGCAAGACGATTAAAATATTATTTTTTTACAAAACCTATCAAATCGATACAATTTAAGTATACTCGGGAATTCGTGTTTTGTCTCAATAGTCTTGAAAAAGCGATGACGGGAAATATTAATCGTGTCACATTTTATAATATGTAGGTCACGACGTCACGTCTTAAAACTCATATGGTTTTCATTACACATTATCGGTGACTCACAACTACTAGGAATCACCGGAAAATCCGTATAGGACCATGTGGTGGTGGACGGTCTTTGGCGCGTTTTGTGTGCAACGTGCGACGCGGGTGTCCGGTGTCCGGGTGTTGTTTTTTTTCCGAACAGATGGCGGAGGTCACGCTCGACCTGTAAAACGAGAAACAAAACGAAACCCCGTCCCGACGGCGACGGCGCTTTTCGCGTAGGTCGAGGAAACCACTGCCCGAGAGACGCCTGTATTATTGTCGTCGTAGACATAGAATTATACGTATATTATTATACGACCGCATAAAATTAAAGGCGCGCCACACTTGCGCAACAGTAAACAATAATGCATAGCACAATAATCGGAAACACAGAAGAGGGTTTTTTTGTCGTTTTGTTTTCCTTTAGGTTTGTTTTTTTATTATTGCCGCGGCGTCTGCAGTAGCCATCACGCGAGACCGACCGGTAGTAAACGGACTGCCGATCGATATATTAAAGCGAGGAGGTGGTCACGAGGAGGAATATACACACGAAATATCACGAAAAACGAGTAGGCACGCGTAAAAAAGAATTCACGAGTCCGTGAATCGCCCAAGCAAACCAGTTTCCCGTCACCGCGGTTTCTCACTCGGTGTCTCTCTGTCCTTCTGTTCTTATGTCTCTCTCTCTCTCTCTCTCTCTCTATCCCTCTCTCACGCCCACGCGTCTCGTCTTGACGCGACGACCGGTCCGTACGTATTATATTATAATATATGTATTTGCATTACTATTATTATTATTATTATTTTATTATAATATTGGTTAGGTATAGTATATTATTATATGCATACAGGTAAGACGCGGCGACTGACAACTAAACGAGCGATAAATCACTTGCGTGTTGTAATAATAATAATAATAATAATCTTGTTTTATTTATTTTACGATCGACGTGCAATCAGCCGAGACCCGATGGTTGTCCCCGCGGAACGACACCCAAATCGTATATACGCCATTGGCGCCGAAAATTGTTGAGTTACACATGATAATATGATATGACGCGTGAAATTAGAACATTATGACGATTGATGAAGTTGTTCGATAGTTACATATTTTATTATCCGTAAAGTGGATCAATATAGCGATCGGATCGGCTGCATATAAGTCGATCTTTGTAATATTAGTTAATTATTTGTTCGTAAAGGTAACTCGATTGGGTCGTAATACTGTAATAGTATAGAAATACTAATTGGCATATTATGTGACCCGTCGTAATGTGTCTAACTCCTAAGTAATAAAGTGTGGGCTATATAATGCGCCTTCAGGGTTGTTTCATTTTAAACATCAACATTTTTATGTAATGCAACTATTAGAGGTACAGTGAAAAAAGAACAACTTACAGTGAGCCAATCTGCCAATATAATAATTATTATATTATATTAAATCAATGATTTACACAGAAAACTATAATATCAACTTTGCCTCTGCGAAATACTTAAAAATGAATATACTAGCAGCGCGATCTAGTTCGTTCAGATACTGACCAACCTTAACAACTCAAATGTTGTATGTATATTCATTTCCGTCTAAAATCTAAATCACTTACTGAAATTCCATATTTTACACAGTGATACACATGCACTGATGCAATTATACATATATTATATTATACTTACATATGTTACAATACTATTCTATATTGTTTTATCTCTTTCTAGAAACATACCACATCGTTTGCTAAAAATCTGTAACGTAATCTATGTCAAACAACGGGTTTTGACAAACCAACAAATAGAAAATGCATTAATAAATTATAGAAAGATACTTATCTTAATTTCGAAACGTATCATGTATAGAAACACTTTTTTTCTTTTAGTCATACTCATAATATTTAATATGGTATGGTTTTCTAAATTGCAGAATTTGGAAGATACCCGAAGGTTATTGCTAGATCAGAATAATTAACTCCAAACAATGTTGCTTCAATGCCTAACTAAAAACTATTATGTATAAAATATTAAAAAAAAATCAAACTGTGCAAAAAACCATTCAGTAAAATATGATCTTACTCGAACATGTGTGTTGAATCAATCATCAAACTTACGTAAATAACACTTTCGTAGTGTTAAAACCAAATTCCGAGTTTTAAAAAATTCTATCCACGTTCCAGCCAGATATCAGCGAATCGAACGATCATTGATAAAGATAGTGACAACCGTCGCACAAATGATTTCAAATGAGAATTGTATAAATAGAACATTCGTGCTTCGACCGCATTGAGTACCAGTGACTCACTTCCATCGACAATATTAAGAACGATTGTCAAGTTCCCCTACGCACACGATTGATCTATACGTCCTGCAGGTCAAGGACTTTACACGATTAGAAATGTCAGACACCTAAATCACGATATAAACCTACATACCTATTTCGGTACACGTGAGGGTTGCACACCCGATAGCCGATATGTAGAAATGTCTATAGTTTCGTCCACATATATATAATTATAAAACAGAGCTCATATAGGCTACCATCAGCTAGAGCAATAGGTACTTAAAATACTAAATATGTATATCGTCACTTCCTGCACAATTCGCCGGATATATAATGTTATCTATCACATTAAACTTCCGGACCATAATATAACCACGTCACGTCCGTACCTGGAGTTTGTTCAGAGCGGTCTCGGTTTCGCGGTTGGCGATGGAGCTCCCGATGGTACCGGCGAGCCTGGCCCGGATCGCGTTGGCCGCGTGTAGCTTGCGGACATCGCCGTGCTGGTGGAGCACCTCCTGCGAATCGGAAACCGTGCTGCTGGTGCTGCTTGACGACGACGACGACTCGTACGCCTCTTGGACCAATTTGGACTGTGGACACGCGCCGCTCGGTGGTCGCCGCTGTGGCCGCGGCCGGGTGTTTCAGTCGTGCGTCCTGCACGGTCACGCGGACCGGTTTGGGGCGGGTGGCGGACGCGTTCAGGAGCGGCGACACGTTTGACATCAAAACGGGAGGCGACTCGGGAAACGTGACCAACGGGTCTGCCCCATCGACAGGGTTGCAGCAATCGGCGTCCTCGGCGACCGCGGAGTTGACCGCAGTAACGTCACCGCCGTCCATGAGTATCCGCTGCTGGAGAAGTTGAGAGTTTTGCAGTTCGGATGACGTGGTCATCATTTCAGACACCTGTCGGTGCAGGACGTGCTGGGAGGAGGAAGACGAAGAGGACGTGGACGACGACGACTCCATCGTCCGTGAACTCGAAGACGACGACGACGTGTTCTTCTTCGACGACGCCTTTTGAAAACAAATCAAATCAAAACATTTTCGTTTTTGTTTTATTTTACAATTTTTATTTTTATCGATTTAAGTTTTTAAAAAATACTGTAGTCTAGCGTATTTATTATTTATTATGCGATATAGGTAATATAGGTTTACCAACACCATGCTTTCCACGTTAATATTGCAAATGTGCGGTTCTGTATAAACGACTCTAAAAATGTACTACTTATTTATTCAAATTCGAGAAAAAGATAGTTAATTAAGTTGGACAACAAGATAATTATAATGATAATTATAATTACGTTTTTTAAACACATGAGATAACTTCGTAATTAAGTTAAGAAAATGAAAATATTAATCGATGATCTAGCATTTAAAACTATTATTAATAAAAAATAGATTCAAAGTCTTATACGAAGTAATTTGATGATGTGCAATAATGGCAGTAATGGCATTCATTTGGTTATGAAATACATATACAAGTTGAAAGCATAAATTTTCTAATATTTGACATAATATAATGATAAGTAACTGATAAGCAATGTAAAAATCATTGTAAACTGACAGGCATACTGATTAATGTGCTCCCTCTTACACGATTTTAAATGTTTTGAAAGTGTAAAAGTATAATTATATGAAAAATAAATTGTATTGAAGTTGAAGTATTTATTTTCAATAAATTGTGATTACCTCATTATTCAATATAATGTGCGTGGACTGTAATGTAGAAATTGAAAAATATTTTACAAAATAAACTTAGATGCAAGTGCTATTTTTCGCCAACTATAGATGTCTACTTTAAATTAACATATTACAGATATTATTTATTTTATATTTAAATATTGGGTACTATAATACTTGTTCATATTTTGTAGTGAAATGATAATTTTTAGCTATTAATATTATAATATAATAAAATAAAATATAATGATAAACTCGGCTGTCGAAACATAATATTATGCTTCCCGGTTATATTTCATATAAAATATGATGTAGATAAAGAACAAAATTATTTAGCTTTTCATTTTTTTTTCATTCTGCCTGTGTATTATACGAGTATGCTGATCAAATATATCATATTGTATACTATAGAGAAACGAAGGTATAATTTGTTTAGATGTTCGTAATGATGACACTTCGGGAGGAAAATAATATAATATTATTGTGATATCATGATGAACAATAGGCGCAGGCACCCGTTTGAGGAATATACCAAAATTAACATAATACCAGTGGTAAATTCTTGCAGTCGAAGACATTATATTATGCGCATTGCACATGTTCTTATTAGTAGATATATTATAATATTTATAAGGTATGTATGTGGACATATGTTATGAGAATATGAATCATATTATGCGGTTTGCCATCAATATCGATTTTGGTTTATTAAAACAAATCGTGTGCAACGGGTTTCCGTTTGAAACTTCAGCCCACGAGGACACAATAATAATAATAATATACATAGGTACCTAATATAAATAATAATATGTAGGCCTACTCCATTATTATTATTATTTCTTTTTTATTTCGTAACGCCCGTTTACACTCGCGTTTCTCCTCACAAACTACTTTTGTCGTTATTATTATTATTATTATTTAATATTATGTCACCTTCGCTGCAGGATCATATTATTAAAAGTTTATTGTGTGTGTTCAAAAGCGTGTGGCCTCGAAGGTGGCGTGATATCGTACGGTTATAAAATGCCATCATAATTAATTCTGATATACGAAAGGAAAAGAATCGTATAAATATTTTGATTTCACACGCACGATAAGAAAATATTATTGTATGTAAATATATATTAAATATATATTATGTTATGTCTTATGATGTTACACGGTGTGTACTAGTGTATACACCCGCTGAAGCGTCGCATTTAAATAATTGTGAAATAATTAAAATTTAAATTGAGTCCTTGTGCGGACATCAGATTATCAGAAATCCTTGTGACTTGTCGTCGTCGTCGTCGTCGTTGCATACTCGCATGCGGACAGATTTGTGACCCGGTGGGCATTGGTTATAGCTGGTATATCAGGTAGCCTGGGTATTGGTAGCCGGTAGGCACATCGGTACAACTATTACGTCGTATTTCATAATCAGACGTACTTACCCTTTTCACAATATTGTACGAACGCAATAATATTGATTTTAGATGTAAATTTTGATTTCTTCGATATTAAAGTGCCTGGAGCCGGCAAAAGGGACTATTTTATTCTTACAGACTACAATAATACCTTCTAAATTTAATATTACTAGAGGGGCCCAAATGAATTTTATATACAACCATCAGAGACACTCAACTGTACAAACGTAGGTATTCAAATAGACACGATTTTTCTTGTGAATAAACATGAAGTTGTAAATGCAATAAAAATATAAAAACTAATAAATAAGTTAGATGTTTTCCAGAATAAGAAAATACGAAATTCATAAAATTCATAAAAGTATATTATCGAGTGATATTATGGGGTCTTCGTCACCGCCGATCGGATTTATCATTTATGCGCTATTGTGTTCGTCCTATAATCTCAGAGTATCTTGACAATATTCGTGTGCATATTCCCCACGAAACAAAAAAATAATTAATATATTGGGAAATGTCTGTTTGCACAGATGATGACAATACGCATAGGTTTTCAATGCAATTGATTCAACATGAAATTATACCCTCAACTGGTGAGTCTTCGAGTATTTTTCAAACTTTCTTAAATTACTCGCTATATGAAATTTCCTATTTAAAGATGAGATAGCTAAGCTCATTAAGTTGTTTAATTCTCTTCACCCCCCCCCCCCCCCCACCCAAAAAAAATCAAACAGTCAAACGAATGCATTATTTTTTTCAAATGAATACACTCTCAAAATCTGAAACATAGTTCATTAATACCTAATAGATCTCTGTACCTATCTAAGTTGTAAAAATAATTTTCATTTTAAAAACGATAAAACGTGGTTATCGTGATGGTCAGTTAATAGTATAGGTACTACAAGAATAATCAGAGTCACATTAAAAATCAGACATTAACTAAGGGCAGTACTTTGATATTTTTAAAACGTCGAAGATTTTTCGAATGCTGTATAATACATCAGGGCGATGTTTTGCGAATTCGTAATCTCTTTACAGTTGTCGATGAAAAACGATACGAGCGAACGACGAAGAGCGAAATAATAAATGAGACACATTATTATTATTATTGTGTAGATAGGTGTACAGTTCCTGTTTATAATCTCCCATAGAGTTGTTTATAATATTCCGCAGACAATGGCACGAAATAAAGAGACTGCGCCCACGCACACGATATAATATAATACACATTTATCGGTTGTGCAACTCACCATATGGTTGCCGGCGGTCGTGGCCGATCCCATGGACCCGACGCTGTTCTTCTTCTGAAAACCCTCGATGACCGAACTCATGTCGTGTAAGTCTGAACCGTCAGCATCTTGCAGAAACCCCGACATCTGCAACATCATAAAAAACAAAACCAACCTTTAATTCATGTGAGACGAGTAAATACTAAGTACTAATATAATAGTGCAAAAATTGTCACTCGGTCTATTTAATTTAAAGGAGCACAAATAAGTCGCTTTTATAAAAAATATTTTACAGGAAAGCGAAATCAAAACATGTACCTAACTAGATAGTTAATGGTAATTGGTATATCAGGCTGACCGCCATGAACCCCTTTTGGGTATCTCACTGGTTTACTCGCTGACGCCACGACCATTTAGATAGGTTTACTCAAGGTGTATCAATACACTTTGGGTTTACTTAAACTGAATTTAACAGTTTTGCAGAAAAAAATTTAATAATAAATATTTGCAAACTTGTGATACCTACTGAAGGTGGCAACACTGTAGATTTCAAATCCGACGAGAAAATACTGAAAATTGTGACTCTAAACGAGGTATAGCTGAAAAATCGATTCTAGTGAGATTCCAAAAAGGTTCTCAAAAGCAATTTTGAGTAACATAGGTGAGAACCCAAATTGGGTTTCATGGCATGACTGAGTAACTTTCAAAAAATCCGTAACGGTCAACCTGATATACTACTATAAAAGTAGTATAGTTAAAGTAATATAAAAGTTTTTTTTTTACACATACTAAATAATATAATATACATATATAAATTTTATTTTATTTTTTTTTTGTTTATTTAAATTTAAATCGATGAAACTACTAGGCCTCACTGAGACATACTCGTACAAGTTAGTTATGATAGTTTTATACTACTGCTTTCTAATACAACTTTTTTATTTTTTCTTCGTGGATTCGCAAAATGTATAGCGTATTACATAAAATGTACAGTTTTAAATTTGTATAACATTATTGTACATTTTAAAAATAACTCGATTTTGGAGAGAACATGCTGTCTGTCAATATGTGCCTTTCGATCGATCGTGTACCATGGTATATTCTATAAACGTGTGTACTGGTATCGACGGTATTACGGTATAGTTCTACACGAGTGTGACGTGTTATAAGCTATAATAATATATTTTAAATATATATATAAGGTAGGTAACTCGCAACTTTAGCTCAAGGACATTGGTATATAATAATAGTATTATACAATCCGTGTAAACCGATAAAATAATATAAAGCACGCAGTGGCGTGGCGAACTAAAAATTTTCCAGAGGCCAGTTACAAATATCCCAAGTATTTATGCATAATAATGTATTAATGTAATATAACAAGTTATATTATTTCAGATCGTTATTGACTACCTATTGAGAATATCATATTCAATTTACTAGGGGACCCACTGGCTACCACCCACCCCTCTATTTAAGAAAAATTTCAGAGGCCAAGGCCTCTGAAATTACCGTTCGCCACGCCACTGAAAGCACGAATGCACGATAATATATACGATATACCCTTGGGTTGTAACGATAAGCGTCGTCGCGTGTTTATTTTGCAAAACGGTCGAATTTAGTCGAATAAAATGCTAAGTCCCGTGGCGTCACCTCGGTACCTATACAATACATTTTACTATAACACATATAATATATTGCGTAGATATTTAAGTACATGAATCCATTAGGCATTAGGTGCTATTACACCAATCCATTATCTAGAGTATCTTTATATTTTTGTATTATTTATACTCAAAAATATTACTCCGAAAACGTAAGCAAACTAAAATCAAAAGTACCTACCTACATATATGCCATTATTTCTGTCAAATAAAAATATATATTATATTGTTAATATATTATATAGAACTTAAGTTAGATTATATTATTATATTTTTGTTTGCTAAAAAAAATTACAATATGTTGGAGGAAATGCAATTTGTATCACAAAATTAAAACAAATTGATTTTTTACATAAATGAGTTTTTTGCACTACATAAATTTTAAATAATACTCATAAAATATTGTTGACCCTATGCCAACATATATTATTGAATTGGTGCATTTGCTATTAGTGGTAGTCCAGATGTACTGCATAATGTGATATGTTGTTCCATGGGGTAACAATTAAGTCTAATTGATGAATTTAGTCCAGACCCCGAAACACCCCCCCAAACAAAAATTAGACATTTTAGGTACGCCACTGTATAAGGAACAACTTAGGTACCATCGAGTATACGGGGGGGTTTTGGGGGTTCAAATCCCCCAAAAATTAACTGTTGTGTAATTTATTAATATCAATCATCTATGACCCTCCCCCGAATTTTTTTTTTTGCTTGAGTGCCTGTTAGGTACCGTTCCAATATTATATTCGTATGATAATTAACGTTTAATCTCATAACGATCAATATTATTATCATATAGGTACAAAAAACAGAAAAAAAATGTTTTTGCTTCATTACAATAAGTTTGGCATATTCTGCGTCCGAGCAAAATGGCGCCTGTCGTTCGTATACTCATCCGGAATCTAAAACGTCGTACAATCGCAACACGCGGAAACGAAACGTCGTGGACAACGAACTATACGGCGACTTATAACAACAATTATTATTATGCCACACCGAAGACTTATTCCCCGTCTTCGCGTTTACTCGTAGCTTTTCTATTTCGTCAAGCGCATTCGCCGATTTTGATGCGTTTCAGCGTTTGTATACAAGGTCGTGGATAATATTATAATATCCACTTTTTCGGGCCGGTTTAAATATAGACGAAATCCGTGGGCGGTGGAGGCGTCATCGTACTATATATTAAATATGTTATTTCTGTTATAATATTTCTCGTATATGTATATAGGTATATTACATTTTATTGTTTAGAAGTTCTAGCGAAGCGCCAGCGTCATCAGCGTTGGAAACCACTTGTGGGAGGGGGCACGTGTCAAACTCGGCCGCAACGGACCAAAGGCATTTCCTGAGTCGACGATGGGCGACCGGACGGTATATAATATTAACATAATATAAATGTATTATATTAATATGATATAATACATACATTGTGCAGTGTGTGTGTGTGTACGACGACGACGAACGGCGCCCACTTTCAGCGACCAAAAACGCAATATTTTCTCTGTCGTTGACGACGACGACGCCGCCGCCGCCGCCGCCGCCGTACCCATTTATTTTATATCGCACTTGTGTTATTGCAGCTGCGGAAGGTCAAATCATTAAACGCGTTTCGTCGTGTGAGACGCCTACGCGAGACATGCTGCAGCAGCGTATAATATCGGGTATAACGAGTTTATACTGCGAGTCCATCCGGAGAGGCCCGAAGACGTATATTATATACTATTGCATATAATAGTGATGGCAGAAATATAATACTGTCGTACTTAGAATTCATCATAATATGTTTGATATAATATTTGGATTTTAAATATTTTTATGGGACAAAAAAAACAGTGAAAAAATCAGGTCGAATAAATTCTCATCGTGTAATTTCCGAGGCGTATTCTACCCGTCATTCCAAATCTAAAATACCGTATACCAATGAACGGTCGTGACTCGTGGTAACGAGTGCTTAGCACACCCCTATATTCACCTATATGAGTGATATACTGGTATAGGTACCTATTTTCTAGAGGTTTGACGGTGTTATGAATGCTGACCTATATATGCGTATACTGCAGACTCAACACAAAAGCCACGAGTTCTTCATCGAGATTAACGCGGAAGATGTTTTTTTGTTTTTCTGATTTACTTACGAAAATGTATCTACTTACGTATAAATCTTATATTTTGACACACGATGATAAAGGCAGTGGAGTCGCGTTTTTTTTGGACGCGAACGAAAGGTGTACATCACGAGATGGAATTATATACATGTGAAATGACAGACACAATAAAAAATATTCTTAACAACAGACGAATGATAGTTAAGCAGTTTTGTCGTTGATTGACAGAGATTACGTATATTATTATACCGTAACGTTGTCCCTATATATATACCTCGAGCAAATATTATACCCTCGCCTGTCGAACTACCGCCAAATGCTATTAAAATGTATGCACTGTCGAAACTTCTATACTGTTGAGGGAATCACAGTCTCTGTCTATATAAATCGATAACATACGTATGAGACATAAAAAGTAAGTCATATTCTATTTTATATCTTCAACGTACCGACCTATCTAGCAATGACCTGTCAAGGATTCTGAAAACAGGTCATTTCTTTGCCGTAAGTATAATATTGTCTTCTTGAGATTGAATTTTTAAGGTTCCCAACTATTGGGTGTAACGATTAATGATTTTTACGTCTTCAGAATTTTTTTTTATTAGTTTTTCGTGCGATTTCAGTGGATAAAATCAAAAATTAAAAATCCATAATTATCTCATCGGTATTATAATACGAATAGATTACCATATAATTAACATGCTACGTGCGACACAGCACATATATACACCAGACAACCACTTCCAAACCCCTTGAGTTCGAACTGTTGAGGTACTATAAGTGTTTGTATTTTTGAGTGTCCTACTTCCCCGGCTCCCCTGCAAGATCAACACGTACCTATATACTTTTCATCGAACTCGATCACAGACAAATGATAACGCACGTTTTACGGTCATTACCTCCTTCATTGTTGTCGTTATTGTCCACGTATCGCAAACTCAATATTCATGATTCATGTCCACAAATTATAATTACAGTTTTTGTTATTGTTATTATTATTATTAAGAAACAATGAAATTACTTTAAATATTAAAAAAAACAACTTTAATATCATGTTTACGAAGGATTCAATTTTTTAGTATTTTACTTGGAATGACGACACAAGTACCTACGTTTTGTGTTATGTGGAACTTTTTCGTCATACAGGTGAAAGTTAAAGAATTTTTAATCAATTAATTTAATTTCAATCTAATATCTATGGTAATTTAAAATATGTTAATTTATTATTATTATGAAAAATGATATTTATATTTTGTAAGAGTAGTAATTATTTTTATAATATAATATTATTTATTATATTTTTTTTTAAATAAAAACTGCAATATTAATTTTGTCAGATTTTAAAATTAATTTTTAATTTTTAATTATACAACTT